GCCGATATGGGGGGGGGGGGGGGGGGGGGGGGGGTGAGGGATTGATGGCATCTTGGTGGGGCCCAGGCGCTGGAGGGCCTCGTTGGGGTAACAGATACGGTCCAGGGACGCCGACCCGCGGCCTGTAATTACCTGGTCAGGCATAAAGCCGGCCTGTTATTGGGGACACTGCTCACATTCAGGCCTGCGCCACACAATCCCATTCACAATACATCCTTTTTTCCTATTACCCCCCCCCCAAATCAATACCGACAGAGACCTGTTCTCCTGACCTCATCAACAGGACCATGCCACCTGACCCCACCCTATCCAAATCCCCCTGCACTGACTCACTCCTCCCTGACCCCCCGGGCCTCTGGCAGGAGGAGGGAAGTGAGATTCAGGTGCCGCCCCCCCCCCCACCCCCCCCATGCTGTGAAGGATGCCACGCTGTGATCATCAGGGCCGCGTCTGGCTGGCTTTCTGGGCCGCTCCGCCGTCTCCAGCCTTTAAAGTGCGCCGTAAATGCATTCCGCACGTCTTGGCTGCTTCCTGGATTTGTCTTTCTGACGGCAGGCTTCCCCTTCATGAGGCTTCGGGGAGGCCGAGCGATGGCTTCAGCATATGCTGCCGGGTTTATTGGGGCGCAGAGCGTGCGTGAAGTCGCCCCGGCGCCCCGGGACGGCGTTCCGCGCCCCAGTTCATTCGGCCTGACTTCCGCCCCACCTGATCAGGAAGCGGCCCCAGATATGCTCTGTCCGATTTCGCTGTAATGGGCGGTCAGGCGTCGGGTCACCGCAGCCACACTGCCCCCCCCCCCCCCCAACAGCCCGGTACTGCAGGTTAAACTAGTCACCCTTACGTTTAGGTCACCAGCTAGTTCCCTTAGTTATCGTCATTTGTGTTTTTCTGAGTGGTGAGAATTCTGGGTAATGTTGCTGGACAGGAATGTTTTGTGGGGAGATTGATCCCGAGTTTCCCACCCCTAATNGGGGGGGGTGAGGCGGGGGGTGATGGCTTTAATAAGTAACACAGGCAGGCCTTTGTTCTTGTCCATTAGTGAACACTTGAGAAATCAAAGTATGAGCCTCAGTGACTGCGTCTCTGCTGTTTAACTGCTCCAGCGAGCAGCACTGGGCTCTGCCACGGCAGGTGCCATCGTGAACTGATGGAGTGATAAAGTGAAAAGGTGAGGCGGCGCTTGGGGCTGGGGGCGGAATTCTCTTGAGCCATATCCATGACCCCCCCTCCCGGCTGCCCACTGGTCGCTCGATGTCAACTGGGCCGGAACACCTTCGGTAAACACCTGGTTCACCTGCAAGGAAACATAGAGAGAGAGAGAGAGAGAGAGAGAGATGAAAGCGCAGTGGCTCTATTGCCCGTTCTTGCATTAAACAAACCCATAGCACCGTGGGGGGGAGACAGCCAATGCTAAGCATCAGCTGAGGCTGCTGACACCTGTGGTTGACACGTCTGCCTGCGCCTGCCTGTGTCTGCCTGCGCCTGCCTGCGTCTGCCTGCGCCTGCCTGTGTCTGCCTGCGCCTGCCTGCGTCTGCCTGTGACAGCTGTGCCTCTGTGCCTGACACACACACCGACAAACCACACGCATTCCACACACCCATAGCACAGTGGGTCGTTCTTGCTCCCCCATCCTCATCTCCCCCCTCCCGTGTCTCGCAGTGGCCCCTCCTGCGAGCCCCGGGCCGATGATGCGGCATGAATCCTCCGACAGCTTGGCGTCCGACCACAGCGGCCAGGAGGACGAGGAGTGGCTGGCTCAGGTGAGAGGAACCCCCCGGCTGCCCCCGGCCCCCTGCGGCCTCAGGACTGGCGCCCCCGCTCCCCCCCCGACAGTAACACGCGTGTCCTGGGCTCGGTTTTCCTGGCCAGCTTTCGGTAGGTGACCACACCCTCGGAGGTGCACCGGCGGTCTGACGCCCAGCGCCTACACTGGATCGAACCACTGGATCGGCGTGTCATTCCGTCCTCATCCTGACAGATTCTCGAAACCGGACACTGAGAGGCACCGCTATAAGGGCCCCAACGTTCCCAGTGAGCGTGCTGTTCCCGGGAACATCCCGGTAGTGGCTCAGTGTGTCAGCATGGTGTCCGGGCCAAGGGGGGACCTCCCATCCAAGGTCACGCCGCCTCTGTCACGCCTTCCGACACATCTCAGGGGTGGCGTGATGGATATTTGATAAGATGGATGTCGGGTCAATGCCGTCCAGAGCTTGCGGACTTTTTGCTTCCTGCCTTTACGTGACTTGTGCCGATCACTGCGTCCTGATATCGTCAGGCCGGTGTGAAAAATATCGGGCCCCCCCCTCGGACTTGTGATGGGACGCTCTGGGTAATGAGGGCTGTCAGGGTGAGCAGGACGCAATATGTCAAGGCGGGAGGGTCGGGGGGGGTAGTAACATCTGGCCCCAGCCTCAGCGATGTACAGCGTCTGTTTATATCTGGGCAGCACAGACAGTGTTAAGTGCAGAAAAAAAATGTGCCGATCATCCCCTGTGGCCTGATTTGCGCAGCTGTGCAGAGGATGTGCTACACAGCTCAGGGTTAGGAACCCTAAGCCAATGTCCTCATTTCTCTGGGTTGGGGGTGGGGGCTGGTTTTTTTCCGCCCTGCTCCGAGTTTATGGCTGTCGTTTCGGATGCTGACGAGCTTCTGGGACCCAGCCTGACGGTCAGCGTGTGATTCGCCGTGGCGCGTAACCCGCCGCCGCCTGCCGGAATCCCGTCTGAAGCCGTTAATCCGCGCGCTGCGTGGATATACCGCGGCGTACACTCAGCAAGCAGCCGGCCCCGTTACCCCTAGGGCAGCGACCTGTGAGAATAGCGGGCATCCGTGCCAATGNGGGGGGGGGGGGGGGGGGGGGGGTGTAAGACCTGGGCCTTTGTGGTCACTGTGGTTGTATGGAATATAGAATGCCAAGCCCATTATGCCCAGGGAGGCAGTGCGAATGCCCCCCCACCATGGCATGTACATGCAAACGCCTTTTTGACGCCACTGCACACCTGTCAAATGTCCCCCTTGGCTGAGCTCAGGAATGGCACGGTCGGCCCACAGGTGGCCTGGAGGGGGCGTGTTTCATTACCATAAGGTTAGCTGGACACCTCCGGCCCCCCAGCCCGCCTGCGCAGGTGTGGTGGAGCACCGGGTCGCTTCCTGTGCAGATGAATTTCGGTGCTGGAAGACGATATCTGCTCACCTGTCCGCCGTGGCAACAGAGCAATCCTTTGTTTATTCATTTAGCGGGAAGATTAACCTTAATGAATGGGCCTTCCTGGTAACGGATCCCGGTGACAACAGGAGGGTTGCGGTGGGGTTGGTGCCTTGGGGGGGAGGGGGGGTTTGGGGGCAGTGGGGTGGTGGCAACTTGGGTGGGGCGGGGCCTTTCTGTCCTCACTTGGAAATAAGGGACCCACGCCTTGCCAGAGTGTGTTTCAAATCACTGGAGGAACGTGAAAAATGTCAGGCGAGGGCTGCGCCGACCCCCCCACTCCGCTTCCTCTTCCATCGCTTCTCTGGGCTCCTACATCGTTCCCCATTCAGTCCTGCTGTAAATCAGCCCCCATTCCTCCCCCACACAGACACGTCCTGGGGTTTGCCTCTGCAGCGGTGTAAACTCCGGTTATGCGGCTCCGTAGCGCTCCCTATAGCACGGGGGGGCTGGGCATGCATGAGCATTTCCGTGCATCCCGCCACTCATTTAGGAGCCTGGGATGTCCTGACAGATCTCCTCAACCCTGAGCAGCTTCTGTGTCCTCTGTGTTTTTGGTGTATGGGTTTGCGTGTGTGTGTATGCGTGTATGCGTGTGCGGCGTCCGGTGATGCGCTCTCACGGGACCCTCAATGGCCGAGGTGCTCCCTCCTGTCTTCCCTCCCTCTCACTCTCTCCTGGGGCCGTTATCAGTATTACAGGAAGCAGAAGTTATCACATTCTTGGTGCACACAGCTCAACTAAGATCCATTAATTTGACGACAGGAGTGTGGAACCAGATGTGAAGATCTCTCTGATTTCAACTTTTCCCAGATCTTATCGGTATAATTTATACCTCATTGCCCAGCTAGGGCTGGGAAACATCATTTGCGGGCCCATAGTAATGGATGTTTTCCCCTGTCCTTTCTTGTGGTTCAAAGCGTATCATTTCGTGTAAAATGTATGAATAACGCATCAGGCGGCTATGTGAACCAGTACCCCACCACCACCACCCCGCATGCCACTCAGTTTATTTCCACAGTTCAGAAACCCACCTTGGGCAAGAGGTCCGATAGCCATCAAAGCTGTGTCGCTCAGACGTTTGTGTTTACATCCCCGAATGAGAGCGGCAAGGACTGGACTAACCCCCCCCCCCAGCTGGATGGGTGCGGGGAAGGGCAGCTCTGCGGTCCTGACAGATTCTCACGTTTGTGATTAAGGGCTGGCTCCGCGCTTCCAGTTTAACTAGTGCGCTGCCAGATTCGGCAAAAACAGAGCGCGCACCTTTCTGTAAGGGTGTGCAATTAGCATTGAGTGCGTAGCGAGAGCTCCGCCCCCTTCTCAGAAACACACGCTCCGGTAAAGTGCAAACCGCAAGCATGAGACTGACTGTTACCTATGCCAACTGATGTGCTGGACCTTGTTCCGGGGGCGAGGGGGGCACTGTCACTTATTTCTGGAGGATGCAGTAGGCAGAGCGTGCTTTGTTTCATTGGGTCGCAGCCTGCGGCCCATAGCCGTCGCCCGTCAGCACTTGGCCTGCTCTGTGTAGCACGCCCCTATTAAACGGTAGCTTTGATGTCGGCCTGAACCTGAGCGCTGAGTTATAGGACAGGTCCTGGGCTTTCTCAGCGGCTGCAAACATGCATCTGAGTGAAGTCCCCCCCCCACTGGCTGCTGCAGCGGACAAGCCGATATGGGGGGGGGGGGGGGGGGGGGTTGCAGGATGTGCTGTGGAGACACTGCCGGCCTGGCGCGACCTCTCAGCTGGGCCCCCGCTCCACTAATCTGCCACGTCGACTGGAGACAAGGAGGGCAGGGAGTGTGAGAGAGCCTTCTCTGCAATAGCCTCTTAGCCCCAATCCGGTTCCTGCCAATCCACTAAGCAGGTGTCAGAGATAATCTCACCGCCCCGCCGCTGGCGTTATCAATCGGCATGAGGTCCAGCTATCCCCTCCCACATGCCTGGTCATGTCCATCCTCACAGGTGGAGATAGTGACCCACACGGGTCCTCACCGTCGACTCTGGATGGGACCTCAGTTCCAGTTCAAGACCATCCACCCGTCGGGTCAAACCACGGTCATCTCCTCCAGCTCCTCGGTGCTGCAATCCCAGGGCCCCAGTGACACGCAGCAGCCCCTCCTCGACTTTGACACGGACGACCTGGACCTGCACAGTCTCAGGTGCATGTTAGAGAAAAGACAATCCCACAATGCACCAAGATGTCACATGTCACTTTGCTCAGCATCGTGTATATGAGACACAGAGGTGACCATCTCCAGTAATCTAGGACCACGTACAGTAAACCTCTCCTTTTTAGCGCTGCCTTAATTCTTAATAATGTTGTACTGTAGGTGTGATTGGACAGATAGTAATTGTGGTTCTCCTGGAATTTCTGGTGTAAATGGGAACTGGGGGTCTTGCTCTGGGTATAGCTGTCCTTGCATCTGCCTGTGTGAATCGGCCGCCTACCTGTCAGAAGTCCTGAGAATTGCCCTTTGAGTGAAGCCGTCCTGTTTCAGGATCCAGCCCATACGCTCTGAGCCCGTGAGCATGCCTGGATCCTCGCGCCTGGTGTCGGATCGGCGGGGCCAATCCACCGTGATCGATGCCGGATCTGGTAGGCAGAGAATAATGCCTCTCTTCACCCCTCCCTCCTTCCCTCCCTCGCCGGTTGTGTTTGCAAGGGATGATTTGTGTACATGTGACAGCAAGACACACACGCCCCACGCCAACTCGCTCTCCAGTAACAGCTGCAAGACGAGCGAATCCTCTAGGTCCCATGGCCAGGCCCTTCTCCAGCTTCACTGCCGACGTTTAATACGATTTCCCCCCCAAGCTGGAAGCGGATGTCGGCTTTGGCTCCCAGAGCCGGGTTTTCGAGGACGCAATGCAAAAGTTATGATCATAACCCTGTTAGCATCGGATAAATAGACTTCTTATGCCTAATCTTTGCCTTAGATTGAATTGATCTCATTTTAAAGAGATCTCGTTAACCTATCTTTGGTATTTTTCTTTTTTTTTTTTTTTTTCCCATCCCGTTATTATGTTAGGATAATCCAATCAGCCGCGATCTCTGCCGGCGCGGTTTGTTCTCGTAAAGTGGCCCTCGGCGCGCTCCGCAGGGCATAATGCAGCAAGAATAGATGATGAGATTAATCAGTGGTCCGGCGACGCTTTCAGACGCTACCATCAGCCTTTCATGCAGGTATCCTCAGACACCCCGCCCATCCGCCCAGCATGCTCATCTGACATGACAGTAATTTCCGGACCTTATCTATAGCCCTGCATATTTAATAATAAAAAGTATAAGTGGCTGAAGGAGAAGTCGCATTTCTGATAGGATTAGCCAGTCCGGCTGTGGCCATCTTTCATTGGTCGCTGGCGTCCACGTTGCTTTGGCTGCATTTTTTTGTTTATAGGTTTCAGATTTTTCCGCCGACTAATTAGTGCCGCCACGTCGCACGTTCGCAATATTAATGTGACTCTTGCGGCTGGTTCTGGGACACGGTCTCTGGATAAAGGGAAGAATAGAGAAGCTATGCTGTGCATAAAGTGGCATCTCTTAGCTTGTGGTAACGATTCAGATCGCTGGAATCCCTCGCATGTGAACGGCTATATTATTATTCAGCCACAGTGTTCTGCAGTTTTCCACACGTGTCTCTCGCTGGCTCCCCTGAGCTGCGTCTTCCTGTCCCTCCTCTCATGCCACAGACGCGTCGCCCGGCAGCCGGAGCCCGGAGGCCATCTTGTTTACACAGGGCTTTGCCGCGTTTTGCGCTCCAGACCCAGACATCCAGACCATCGGTTTTTATTACCTGGCTTGAACCAGGAGCCCTTGTGGCCTCCCTCCCTCATCCTCTCCCCCCCTCCCCCTCCAGCCAGGTCTGGAGCGGGACTGGGGAGCCTCCCCTGGCTTCTCTGAGATGATGCTTATCAGTCTGCGAGTGATGGCTCGACGCTGGGAGCTTCGGCCCAGTGTGGCGCCGCCTCTTATCGCTGCCCATCGCTTTGTCTTGCCTTCAGAAGCCCGCGCGTGCCTGTTTGTCCCGGGGATTAGGGAGGCCCCTAGGCCTGCCAGCCCCCCCCCCCCCACAAAAACCGTGTCCCCTGGTGACACCAGGCTCCTCACCTTCATCTTTTATTTCTGCTGTT